TACTGCCGAAACAATTTAAATAATCTCTGGTATGAATTTGATGATCAGAGTGTCACTGAAGTTTCAGAATCTACTGTACAAAATGCAGAAGCTTATGTTCTTTTCTATAGGTAAGGAAGTAACTCTCATGGATAGATTATTTTGACAAATATGAAAGAACATCTCACTTTGGGGTTTTTACTTCTAAGACTTTCAAGATGTATTGCTGAGTAAAGATTAGAAATTGTTTTTTTCTAATTTCATTTTGTAAGTAAAGTGAAAGGTTGCATGCAGAATGATCTTTTGTTAAGAAAATGTTAAATCATTTAGTTGAAAGGTAAATGAATATATTTTGTTTTAGAAAGATTGGTTTTAATAAATTAGTCTCTGACAGTAGGAGTTAAGTACCAGATTTTCTCCTAAAATAGCTAATAAAGGAGGTATTACTATAAAAATAGATCTTTGGTAGTTTTCAGTATCTTGTAAAAAGATTACTAACTACTGAAAGAAAAAAGTAGATGAACTATTTAGGTTGATTTTATTAGCAAACATTTGAATGCCAGCTGTATACCAGTGGTTATGTAGATACCAGTAGTTCTGATACAGTGTTGCCCATTAGGGTGTATAATGTAGTTGGGGCTAGGGGTGGGGTGATACAAAATATATTTCTGTTGTATAATTCCCAAGCCTAATAAGATTCATAGTATTACTGTGTGTGCTAAGTCTAATAAGAGGAAAAATCCATCAACTGATCGGATGGAGTAAAATGCATATTAAGTTTAATGAATCATTGTCCTTAATAGGAAGAGCAGTGAAGAGGCACAAAAAGAGAGACGAAGGATATCAAATTTATTGAACATAATGGAACCAAGTCTCCTTCAGTTTTACATTTCTCGACAGTGGCTAAATAAATTTAAGACTTTTGCTGAACCTGGCCCTATTTCAAATAATGATTTTCTCTGTATTCACGGAGGTAAGAAATCCTAAATTGGAAAGTAATGGTAGATGTTTGCTCTTAAATAATTTACAGATTAAGAAGGAGCCAAGAGTTTTCCTCTTTGACTTATTTTCCATTTCTTTATCTGCATCCAACTTAAATCTGTTTAATTCTCTAGTTTTAGAAATTGGCATTTTCTTCTATTTATAGGCAGTCTGTAGCCTCTTCATAGGAGAGAGATTTATTGAGAACCTGTTCCAAACCCTGTGCTAGACCCTGAGAATACCAAAGACACTGTTTGTTTTCTAATTTCATAGTAGAGACAGATCCATACACAGCCAGTTATAGTACAGTGAGCACTTCTATTACACATTATTCTTCTCTGCTGAGAGGCATTCAGCTACCCCTTGTATCCATGATTTTTACCCTTTTGCCTAAATTAATAGCTGGCTCTTTTCCTAAGTATGGACATGTCCTTGGAATTTAACAAAAAAGCCTTGTATAGTTATTTGCTAAATATAACTTATGCCTTTGTGACTGGCTATGTTAGTGTTTGTTCTCATGATAAATAACATGTTAGTGTGATACCTTGATTAAATTTCATGGTTGAAGACTCAATATTCTTATTAATTAACTATTTTTGCAGTGAAACCACAAGAGATAGTAGGAATGTCCCATAGTGAATATAGAAACCTAAACCTTGAAATGTTTCTGTATGTGAATTTATCTCTTATTATTTCCCTACTTGAACTACTAACATAAGGCTCTTCTAGTTCTGAATCCCCCCATAAGCTTTTTATGGTATTTATCTGTGACTGCCTTTTATTATAGTTATATAAGTGCCTCATGTCTTTTGCTGGCTCAAGCTCCATGAAGGAAAGAGTGTCTCTTATTTTCCTTTGATTTCCCCCAATACACAGTCAATGCTTAGTAAGGATTTACATAAATTACTTGAAGATGTTGGTTACCTGATTTTTCTCTAACTACTTCAAGAAGTAGGTTCATTTTTAGGAATGTAGTCACCAGAAATACTTAATTTTTAAGAATACTGATTGAAAAATGCCAGTGATTAATCAGTTTAAAAATGAGTTTAACCTTTAAAAGTTGTATAAAGGAATTTAAGAATGAAACACACCCATCTAAACTTTTTTAGGCGTTCCTCCACGGAAAGCTGGTTATATTGAAGACCTGGTTTTGATGCTGCCTCAGAACATTTGGGATAACCTGTATAGCAGGTTTGTTTTTTTAAATCAGACAATATGGTATTATGAAAATCAGTTGGTGAAATTTGTTAAAAGGGGATTGTATTGTTTCACATATGCTCCTTATGCTTTATGTCGCTTATGTAGAAAATTCTCTTTTTTCCTGTCATTATTCACTCTGAAGTGAACAGGAAGACTTCATAGTTAACGTGGCCCAAGTCTAGATAATTAATTCTGATTTTTATGTTCTAATTATCTGTATCTGTAGAAGTATATGGGTGATATTTAAGTCTGAGATTTTAAAGTTTTAAATTTTGTTTTAAAACATTTCATGTATAATTTTCTTACTATGTTTTCCATAGTTAAATATTGAAAATATGGGGTACCTTGGTGGCTCAGTCATTTGAGCATGGTACTCTTGATTTTGGCTTTGGTCATGATCTCACAGTTCATGAGTTTAAGCCCTACCTTGGGCTCTGTGCTGACAGTCTGGAACTTGCTTAAGGTTCTCTCTCTCTCTCTCTCTCTCTCCCTCTCTCCCTCTCTCCCT